TGATTCACTAATTGACTGAATAGAAAATTTTGTAATTTACTGACTGCTGCTTGTTTTAGATTTACCTAAACAATAACTTGAAAGTCGCAACAAAGCAAATCATTGGATTTGATAACTCAAAATTCAATCCAGTGATTTACTGGCTAATAGATGGACTGATTGGCTAACTTACTGGACTGATTGCCTGACCTAACAAAGATTAACCTGTCAATTATTCAAATGATCAATCAATCAGTGAGCCAATTGCATGAAACTGAAACATCTTTTCAAAAGAAGATGATATCCATGTATGAACAAGCAACAAAACTAGCCACATATGAACAGTCTAAAATGATTCAGCTTTACAAATTTTTAAAAAGTACAAGCTTGATCTCACTTGTGTTGATTTATCCTGAGCATGAAAGTTTGGGTAAACTTCAGCCATTCCCCTTATTAACTTAATGGCCAGCATTGTTTGCTTCTGCGAAAGAGGATCCCAAACATGTTCAAAAAGACCTAACAAAATTTAAAGGTGAGTTAACATGTATTAAAAAATGTATTCAATGTAAATAACTTTTTTATTGATTTATTGACAAGAATTGGAGTAATATTATTACCAGTTAGTTTTGGAATGAGAGCCTTTTCTAGCACCATTGGGATAAGTTTGACATCAAGGTCATCGGCATCAATATCATAAGGATCATCTCCACATCCAAACAATACAAGACTTTTGTACCAACGAAATTCTTCAATCTCTAAACATTTCACCTAAAGGGAAAGAAAGAAAAAACATCAATGTACTGTCATGAGCAAAATACTGTAACCATTTTTTTTATCAGGTTTGTATTGATTGTTTAATGCCTATGCTGCCAAAAGATTAGGTTAAAAATTATTGTTGTCAGTTTAAGAGAAAATTCAATATTACTCATTTATAAATGAGGAAAACTTAAGCTGCTCAGCTCAAGGACACTTGCATGAAATCAAACTATAAACATTTTTTTTTCTGGTTGTTTCTAATTACGACTTCTGACTCATTAGTTCAAAAATGCACTTTGAATGAAATTTCACCGCTTAATGCAAGATGTGAAGGATTAGCACCAAACAGCACTGCATTGTAAAGAATCTGCCCTGAAATTCATGCCTTTTAAGTGTTAAGGAAATTATCCATATAAGGAGAAATGTATTGAGTTCTTGATTGTCTTGTGCCACCAAGAAGCCCACAGACCATCATCATAGTGAGCTACTTTAACCTTAAATCTACACCAAATGCACATCTTGTGTAACCTGTTTCAGAGAAACTTTGGGTGTGGCAAGGTGCTCAGCAGGTACACCATATCCTTGCCAAGTTCAGTTGCCCTTTTGTTCACAATGTTCAAAACAAAGGTATCAATTGTACCTCAAATGGGTTCCAGTCCAAAAGTTGCAGTCTAATAAATGGAGCAAACAGTTTAGGAAGACAAAGTGAAATGTATGCATTCTTATAACAGTCTTCGTGTTTGTTCTTCCATTCTTCAAATCTTGATTTTATGGAGTCAATGGAACTAAAATCTTCCACAACATCTTCAAAAATAACTTTCTCCTCTGACAAAATCCTCTCTGAGGAAAAAGAAAAGAAGAGGCAGTGAGGGAATTGGGTGTCATTACTCACAAAGTTTTATAAAATAATTCAGATAGTACGCGTGCTCTGATTGGCCATAAAACCATTTTACATGAGCGTATGTAAACACGGTTTTTGTTCCTCTTTCATAAGTTATTTTATAAAAGAAATGTAAAATGGTTTGCGTGTTTACATAGCCTGATGTAAACACTTGGGAGGTTGGGAGAACACTCAAAAAGCTGGAAACCACTCCGCTTTGCGTCATGGTTTCCTACGCTTATCTCGTGTTCTCCCAACCTCCCATGTGTTTACATCAGGCTATGAAAACATGGAAACCATTTTACATTTCTTCAATATCAAATTTTACATCAATCAAATTTTTCTATTCCTCCAAAAATAAATGATTACAGTTAAATATAACAAAATTCACATTGCTGTTAAATTGCGATATTGTATACTATGAATACTTCACAGGAAACACTGTGAAAAAAGTGAAGTATCAACATTTGGCCATTTCATACAGACAGCCTGTTACACAGTGATTCCAAAAGCAGCACATCAACCCTGCATACATCACAACATTGTGATTAATATTCAAAATCTTCACAAATTTACCATCAAACTCACATGGTTAACCCTTTGAGTCCAACAAGTGAATATGACAGAATTTCTCCTTACAATATCAATACATTATCATGCAGACAAGTGATGAGAATAAAGAAAAATATCAATTAGGGGATTTTTAGTTGATCCAATACCAAATTCTCCAAACTACATAACTGCATGTATGTATCACCAGAATAATTATATGGCAGATAGTAAGGGGAAGTACTACTGAGATACTGGAGTGAAAGTTTTAATACTTCAATGCACCATTCTTAGACCTGTCTGATGATCTAATTGCAAAAGAAGATCTTACTTGTTTCTGCCCTAAACTTGACAGCATCTGCCTCAGTTTCTTCATCATCTGTTGATTGTCCTTCATGATGAGTGTCTGGTACGGAAGGTTTGCCCTTCTCCTTTTCTCTGTGTTTTCTTCTCCGTGCTCTTCTTCCCTCTCGTTCTGCAGTACGTCTCAACTTCCCCTGATCTGCTGCTTTAGCTGAGTTTTGGCGTCCTACATGGAGGAGACAAAATTTTTACTTAAGCAAGGAAACTATAGAACAAGTTTATTATGCTGGACAGTACTGTTAAGGGGGATTTGACATCTTTCCATGGGCAACATAATGTTTAAATCAGCAGAGAATAATTCATGAGCAGAAAGTACCTCTAGGTCTAAACCCTTACACCCTAACATCATTTAGAGTCTCCATTATGTTCTCCATACATTTCCTAAGGTGTTGACAAGTAGAATTTGTTTAACAATCTCGAGGTTCTTTAGTTGGTGATCAATTCCTTTATTCTTGTGACGTTAATTAATTAATTAATTACTTAATTAGGGGTCTAAAGGTTACATGAGGCTTCATGAATTTATCATATTTTCTTAACCTCCGCTTTTGCTCTGAGCCTCATACATGTGTTTCTGTCATAGTTGCTAGTGTGACTGAGGGTATTCCATGCACACCATGTGTAAGGTGAAATTCCAAGCAACCTAAGTATCCGTCAAATTAGAAAATTACCAGCTTGAGCATTAAGAAAATCCTCTGCTTGATCATTGACATCTGTTTGCCTCCTCTGGACCACTAAGCAAGCTCGATTCTTCAACAAAGCATGCATAGACGTTTCTAGCTCATCAATTGCAGGTACCTGTTCAAAGCAACAAAGTAATATCATCATTAGCAGTTTAGTCTCACCAATAATGTTAAATTGTATGTTGTTTGCTTTCCTACACTCTGCAGAATGTAATGATTTGAAAACTCATCTCTGTCAAACAAACTCACTCAACGAGATATCAAAATTAACCCAGTTGTGACTTGACCATTCACACTTTTGTGTCCTTGAGGAAGTTTGTATATATACACCAGGCAGGCTGTAGTAATTTTTCTTTAGATAAAGGCAAGGTTTGGTTCAGCGACTTTCCAATAACCAACCAATATTTGCAGCTCTGGTAATAACATGCTTGTATCACCCACCTTGTTATTAAGGCATTCTATCAAGTCCCTGACATACCCCCTCATCTCTTGGAAAAAACTAAATCTCTGCTCTGCATTCCTTCCCTGTCGCTCTAACTTCTTGATGTTACTCTGAGCAGTTTCCAGCTGAGATGAAGCTTTCTCATTGTCCATTCTATGTTGACGATGTACCTCTTGAAGAGTCCCCAGCTGCTGTTTCATCTTGTCACAGATCATATCTACAGTAACAGCATGTCGACTTTGCAGTGAATTAGTTGTAAATGCAGGTCCATAAGTTTGATTTCCATTTGTGTGTGTATCATTATATCCAAATCCATATGTGTAAGGCTGCTGTACAGTTTGATAACTCAACGAGTTCTCTTCAGTGAATTGTTGTTGATACAATGAGCTTGTTGCCTCAGTTGTTTGTAGTAACTCTGGTTGGACCACAGGTCCTGATACCCCTTTAACACCTTTGCGAATTTGTTCATTTTCCCAGAGTTTGATCTCTTCATCATCCTCAGCTTCTTCATTGTCAGAATTCTCTTCAAGTTCTTGATTAGCAAGAGCAGCTTCAACCTCACGACGACGATCCAATGCAGGAAATCCTCTTTTCTTTGGAACAGAAAACGAAATTGGTCCCTCTTCCCCCTCATCATCACTTACATCATTCTCATCTTCTCTCACTAGCCGGCCTGTGGATGCAAAATTTCCCTCATATTTCTGTGTGTCATCCAAAGGGATAAAGTCTTGCTCAGTTTGTCTTGCCATTTCTCGCCGTTTGCGTGCTGCATGAATTGTTGCTGCATCTGGTATGCCAAAATCAGTTTTACTTCTTGAAATTATAGCTGGCTCTTTCTTGATAGGTCCTGATGCTACTGAATCAGTGTCATCTTCAGCTTCCTCCCCGTCATCATCGCCTGCAATTTGACACAGCTCAGCTCTCAGTGCAGCCAATCTTTCGTCGGTATCATCTTCGCCCTGATCAGTATTTAGATCATTTTTCTTCACAACTCCCACTTTGTCAAATTCCTCTTTCTTTTTCCTCTCCTGTTCCAGTTTCTTCGCCAACCGACGGCTTTCTTTTGACTTGCGAATCTTGAAAACTTCACCCTCGTCTCCTCCTTCATCATCGAAGCTGAGCAATGAATTAGACGACGCGGTCTTGATCTTTGACTCGTCTTTCTGTTTTGGTTTAGAATTTTTGACCGCGGGTTTTGAAATCACAGGAATGTTCTCTATTTCCCGATCATCGCCAGTTTCGTCGTCTTCGTGGTCGATTTTTTTCCGAAAATTTCTTTTGGAGTGTTTCTTGAACATGGTGGCCATGATTATGACAAGCGCGTAAAGTGTCACGGGATGCTATTCCCAGTGTCGCTCTTCCAATTGAGTTTTGCCTGACTGTTTTTGTCTCCCTCTTGACCATCAAAACTCCATATTTCCCTTTCAAAATGTCCTACTTTTATGGCAGTGGTGGGGGACAAAGGCAACCAAAATGGAATTATCAAACAAATCTAGATCCAAATCTACTGGCCACAGTTCGAGATGAAATGCTTCGAAAAGAGGAGGAGTACCGGAAGGAACAACAGCGGATTGAAGCGGAACAAAAGAAACTAACAAGTTATCTGACCCAACTTCAAGCCATGGTTCGAGATCTGCCTGGGTAGAAATTCCCCCTTTTTTGTATTTTTAAAGCTTCCGCTTTATTTAAATACGTTTACAATGACTTGTTTTCTCATTTGCTTTCCGATAAATAAAAAAGTCTTTATCATAAGACATTATATTACATGAGTACACTTAGCTTGCCATGAAAAACTTTTTCGAGAAGAATATCCTCAAAACCCACTATAGTCTCTCGTAAAAGTTTCTCGCCAAAGAGAAATCTTTTGTGTAAATACGGCTTAATGTAACGATTTTATTCTCTGATAATTTGCTTTGAAATACCTCGGAAAAACGGCATTGACCTTGTGCTCGTTCACGTCTTGGTCACCTTGTTCGAGTTGGCCTGATATGATTTTAAAGGAAAGCTTAAATTAAATATTCAATTAACTAATAACTCTGTTTAATTGTATTTAAGCCATTTTTTTAAAAGTTTTTAAGGCTCTGTAGTAAAGGAGTGCAATGAAAGGAAAGAATTTTGATGACCCGTTTACTCTAAATGTAATAAAGTAACCTGTTTTTGCCTTTCATTTTAGTACCTACAAAAACAAATTCACTTATGATGTACTATCAGGAATTGCAACTTGTCTTCTTGATGGAACAGTATTTGAGATTGTAAAGGGACTGGAAGACATACAGCAACTTACTGAAAGAAACTTACTCAACAAAAGAATGAAATTAGTCAATTTGCAGAAAGGTAGATCACAATGTATATTTTGGATCATAAGAATTTGTATTTGAATTCTAGTAATTTTTATTTTGTGCAATTGTTGGTGGGAATTGTCAGTTTGTGCATGGGTGCACCATATAACAACTATTTTAACTGGTGTACCAATAACTAGCAATCGGAACACGTACAATACCCAAGTGACTTTGGTCAAATCAGTTACCAATATTCTGGCTGAATCCTTTATTCTTTATCAGTCTGTTGGAGTGTGAGCATGAGTGGTCACACAGCATCTAGTTATATAACCTCTTGCTCAGAGCAGCCTTCTGATAATAGTATAGTGTAGTAAATCTTTGGATGGTTATCAAGAATTGTCATGGAAACCTGACTTAGGAGTATGGGTGGTACTAATCATAAAATTGAATGTGAAAGGTAGTGACAAAATCATAAAAATATATTACAATCATAGAAATATTATTATGTAATAGGATAAAATGTGTTAAATTATTGGTCTGTATTTGTTATTTACTTTGATCCTCAGCTCAGAGGATGCAGATGGCCAAGAAACATAAAGATGCCATTCAGCAATGTGAGCAACGGCCTCATAATCTGCCTCTGGTAGAGGCATCAAATACACAAGAAAAGAAAGTAAGCTTTTTTATGTTAATCACAGTGCTTAAGATAGCATTGAAAGTTTAATTTTTAACCCATCCCCTAACCTGCGATCATGTCCATTATGATCACTCCTATCTTAAAGGGCATCAAATACACCCTAAGACCTCCTTCAGCCTCACCTTTGTATCTTCATGAATACTTGATTGGTAGTGGTGATCACTGACTGCAACTTTCAGTGAAGTGCAGACTCTAAGGCCTCGTTTCTTACTTGCAGTTCAGCATTCCATGCTACCATCGATTATTTTGGCAACTCTCAATTTACAGCAGAAACAAATAAACTGGAGCAAACTCCATTCTTCTCTTACCAGGTTCCTGAACACCTCTTTAAATAAAATAAATTCTTCTGATCAGTCTGCAACATAACTGACAGCAGAAAAAAATTGCATATTTGATGATGCCTGCATGTCCAACTCCTTAATCTGCATGTTGTTGAAAATAGTGCTAAAATTTCTAGGCTTTGGAAGAAAAGTTAGAGGCAGAAGTGCTTCAAGTTGATCAGAAAGTAGTCCTTGAGTTGGACCAGATTGTTTGTGACCAACAAGCAACCCTCCAAGTAAGCTGTATTTTGTGCTTTAAATTTATTTTTCAATTCTAAGAAAATGGTTAACCCTTTAAAGTCTGATTGTTAATTCTCCCTTCTAGCTGCTACACATTTCCTTTTAAATTAGTTACAAGAATTTGGTGTTAGATCAAGAGAACAACCTTTACCTGATAATCTTGAGTATTCTCATTACCTGTTTGTTGTATAATGTATAGATATATAGCAGAGCCCGCATAGCCCCATAATTATACAAAATAGTAGTAACCCATCAAGCCAAAAAAATTTGGATGTACAACTGTATGACTGTATGATCGTATGACCGTATAAGGTGCTACTTTTAACGTGGGTGGTCAACTGTAACGTGGGCACGCCAACGCCATGGCTTTGTCCAGTAGTCCAGTGGTCAGTGCATTGGGTTCTGAGTTGGACGACCTGGGTTCTAGTCCTGGCCGGGGCAAGGCATTGTACCCTTGAGATGTGTGGGGAAAAAAAATGCGAGCTCCGCTTTTAGGCTTGGCTAAATCTATATATTAGGGAGAAATTAGATATCAATCACCTCCAGGAGTTAAAAGGTTAACCTCATTTCACAACAAGTCCATGCTATGTGGATGTTCTGGGTGCAAGGACAAATTTGCTTCCAACCCTGTCATTTCCTAAAGCACAATTTATCACTCTTTGCACTGCCTTCCATACATTTCCTATTAACACGACATGCTCTGGTTGACAAAAAAAAATTTTGTGCTTTGCAACTGTTTACTCAAGAATGCATTGATATTAAAACACATTTGTTACTCTTGGGGGTGAAAATGTATCTGGTTTGGAATAAATGGCACATTTCAGCTGTTTCAAGGCATAAGCCACTATGAAATAAAAATTTTTTTTTTCCTTGCACAGAGAGCTGGTGTGCCCATGTTTTCTATAACAAACAACCCTAATGAAGTTCGCCTTCAGATGTATATACTGGATTTTATACAGCGAATGGAACACACTCCCAGTTAGTGGCTACATTTCTTGGAAAGACGCATTTGGAACATGTATTCTTGGTATGACTAGTTGAGTTCAAGTTTTTCAAGTAGCAGTTCAACTTTCTTTTTGCATCAGATACATAAAAAGATGTTAAATTTTTGAGAGAACAAATGCTACCCACCCACACAGTATTCATTACATCTTGCCTGTCTGAAGTGTCACCATATAAAGCTCATAGTGAAAATCTTCTCATAGTGGTTTCCTTAGAATGATCTGAACATTGTAGTTCACATGAACTTGAAAGGAGAATTTCTTTGCTGATCTTTCTTGGATCTGATCAAAAGAAAAAATTTGAAGCCTTCTTTCCTATACGTTCCTGTAACAGGAAAAATTTTTTCCACAGCAAAATACACTCAAACTCACCAAATTTTTTTTAATAATAAGAAAAAAATGGGTGACCAACCTTGAACATTTTCATGACAACATTTCATCAACAACTCTATTTGCATTTAGACAATATATTTTAATTCCAATGTAATGTAGCCTTTATACATATACACTACAGTGTACAAATAACTGCTATTGTTAAATTAAATAAATACAAATTAACCCTGAGCAAATTTACAAGTGCTTATTTAAGTAATTGATTTCAATTAAATATTGATATTAAAAAAATTAAAAAAAAAAAGCCAAAGTCTGTTGAGGCCCCAAGGGAAAACATTCATATTGTTCCATAACCAAATTGTGATCTAGTAGAGTATAACTTTAGCAACAGCTCGACTAAGGTGTCTATGACATTGGAAATAAGAAAATCCAAGATGATTAGAGATTTCACTGTTTCCCAGCCATTTCAGATTTTGTCAAATATATCTGGAAAGCACCAGGTGTTTGTTTGGATGGATTACATATTCCAGTCTATGTGACTCAGGTGTGCTGGAGCTAAGCAAGTAGAAGAACAAACTATTGATCTTGATCTTCAATGACTATTGAGCTCCGAAGAGAAGTTGGGTGCACCAGGAAAACAGAAACCCTTCCAAAGTTTCCCAATATCTTGCCAACCAGCCCAGACAACTGAGAATGTCTATAATTTCATGTTTTCATCAGTTGGAGAACTCTGGAAGGGTCTGGAAATGGTGAAATCAAAACTGCATTTATCTGGGATTTTTTCCAAACTGAGGATGTCTATCATTTTGAGTTTCCATTAGTTGGGAAACTCTGGAATGGTTAGAAAATGGTAATAAATCCTTAGCTGACTGGGATTTTGCCAACATACAAAAGCCAGCCTTAGGTAGAATTCTCCTGCTGAATCACAATGGCCCAAAATGTTATTTATTCAGATGTGGAGATTTACATCTTATTACTGCTACTTACAACTATTCTCCATCTGTTACCTTTTTTTTTTTTTTTTATTTTTTCAAAAACCCTTAGCTCTACTTTTCCCCTGTATAAAGTAAAGGAAAACTCACCGGTGGAACAACTTATCAAAAATAATCTTGTCTTAAATAGAAATAAGGTACTTAGGGCAAGGAAAAAAAAAAAAAGATGTGTACTGTTTTCAAACTGGAATTCTGTCTCCTTTTTGAATGATCCCTTGTGGACTCTTATAAGAAAAAGGGGTATTGTCTGATGATAGTAGTGGCAACTGTAGAACATCATACAAGCCAAAATAGTGCCTTAAAAGAAATTGAAGCATTAATATTACTTGTATTTGTTTTCAGTTTTTCTTCCCCAATTTTTTAAGAAATTTTTCAAATCTAAAAACAAGACATTTTCATTGTTTTAACAGCAACTTATTCTACTGCAAGAGATTTCCTTTCACAACTTGTGGTCCTCTTGGCATTACTGTTACACAAGAATAAATGGAGTTACTCTATTTTTAAACTAAACTTTAAAAGATTCTTTGCAGTTTAAATTTTTTATCATTGCCTCTATTCTTAAAAGGTATAGGATAATCTGAGATGGCAAAATATTTTATCTAAGTACAAGATCATTTTTGTAAAATAGTTCAAATTCATTTCCATTTTCATTTGATCACAAGCAAGACCAAGAAAACTAACTTTTTGAAAAAGGAAATTTATCCTGTCCTATCTAAGTCTTGTGTGACCAGAAAAGGAAATTGAGAGATAATAGTCAGATAGTCTAAAGGTGAAAGATATATCAATTATAAAAAAATATATGAAAGTTCACTTGGCAACCAGGTGGACAATCAGACATGGTTTTATGCTACTCTGGTTTAAAGATTTAGTGAATGTAACCAAGAAGTTACAATTTATAGACCCAACATTTCAACACTACTGTCTAGTGCCATCATCACAATTCAAATCATGATGATGGTGGCTTTCTTCCTGACACCTATTTACACCTCATCAGAAAAAAGGGCAGCTAATTAGTGAGCGTATAAAAGGACCTCTTGTTGCAGCGTTTAGTTCACCCCTGAAGAAGGCACTTGACAGGAGTGTCAAAACATTGGGTCTATGAATTGTCACTTCTCAGTAACATTCATTAAATCTTCAAACCAGAGTAGCATCAAACCATGTCTAATTATAAAAAAGTTAGTAGACCAGATTTAAGTTTTTCAAGACAACTTTTGTATTGAACACTGAGGCAATACAAAGTTCATTAAATATTGCACAATTAAAAATACTGGTAAGTATGAAGGACCTTCTGTATGTGGATACATGATCCCAAAAGTCAGAGGAAATATAGCAACACTGTTTGTGATGTGGTTAACCTTCATCCTTGGTGTAATAACAGCATTCTTTGTTTTCTCTCCTTTTACACTACGATAATTTTTATCACTTGAGTATTTTAACAAGCAAGTAAAAATGGAACCAAGGATAAAATTAAATCACAACACAGAGCTGTAGAGAGTTGTTATAAAATATTGTACACTGTTCAACTTAAACTTTAGATACAATACGCATTATGATGATGCTATCAGTATGGGATATCCTTATTTTTCCTACCACATGTACATTGTATTAAGGACATAAATCTGCACCATTGTAAAGCCTAATAGCTTTAGTACAAAGACATCAGTTTCCAATGATAAAAAGAGTAACACTTAAGGAATTTTCTTCTCTTCACCTAAACATTGAAATCTGGGAGTTTTTCTGTTGCCATGTTTGCCAATTCCTCATCCTCATCCTCATCTTCACTGATGCTGCATCTTGGTGACAAGCGACATCCTCTGGCAATATATGGGGTGAGTTTTCCTATGGCTGCCAAAATCAATCCCAAGTAGGGAGGGGACGGTCTGATTGGTCGACTTATGTATTCTGGGTGATACTGGACTCCAACAAAATAGGGATGGTCTGAAAATAAGTAAGGTTACTCAGTTAAGGTAATTCAATAGGCAGGGAAATCCTGTCACTCAATGTTTTACTCATCTAAATAGGTTTACCAGCCAACTAATGGCAAACTATGGTAATCTAGTATTATTAAATTAGTTAATAATGTAAATGGGACACCATAAAGAGTTTAAAAGTTGACATTTTGGGTGTTAGCCCATCATCAGAGCAATTACTGCAACCATGTACCTTTGATCTCCATGATTTCCATTCGTTTACCTTCCACATCTCGGCCAACAAATTCCATTCCCTTTTCCTCAAATTGACTTACATATTCTGGATTAACCTTAATTGTAAAATAAAAAAATAATAAAAAAAAAAAAAACACTTGCAATTAGGATACATTATGACTGCAACAAAAAGAAAAGTGTCTAAATGAAAAAATTGAATACACTTACAAACAAGCCATATAGAGTTTTGTGTTTTGATGCTGGAGTCACAAAATAGCCCCTCTTACCTCATATCTGTGCCTATGTCTCTCTTCTACAAACTCTGCATTCTTGTAAAGCTTTCCTGAATAAAAGATAAAACAAATGTGAGGAACTTGTAAAACTGCAAATGTCTACATCTTTAAGGATTGTGCCTCTCTTGGACTACAACACCAGCATGGTAAAACCTCCCAAGGTTCATGCAAAAATAAGGATTTAGCTCATACATTTGGATGCTGAGAAAACCAGTTATTTGTACTTCACTTGGAACAAAATAAATCAAGAAATATATAAAATATATTAGACTTAAACTATTTTGGAATAATATGCTACTGGTACTCACTTGTTATACTCTCATGCACCTTTGAAAACACAGTGCGCCGTCTTCCAAGCCTCATAGTCCCTCCAAGCTGACCTGGGTTGTGCTCAGGCATTTCAATAACCTAGTAATAATACTTATTAATTTTGTTTCATGAAGCTTTTGTCATCTTTAACTCTTTGAAGAGGAAACCACAAATATAGAACCCTACTTGCTCAAAATACCAAGAGAAATGAGTGTAATATAAGTCTGAGATGCTAGGGAGTTCAGTTTGAATCTTTCTACAGAATTTAAGATTTTTTGTTTTCTTCTGCTTTGTTTTTTTTTCTTTTTAATGGTACATGTATATTACATAGTAAGATGAAAATGGGAAATCAGTATAAGTTGTTGTGCCCTGTTTTCAGTTCAGAGCCATCTGGAATATCTCAATTTGAAACCATCACTGAAGCAGCTTATTTGAAATCATGGTTGTTAACAAACAAACAAACAAACAAACATCTGGTTTTAAGCTTTTAGGCAAGCATTATGAAATAATAATACACCTGTACTTACCACTGGATTTTTGGTATCTGGTTCATTTTCTGTGGAGTTTGCATCTAAAAATTATAGAATGTTAGAGTTGATCAGTGATGTGGTTGAAGCCAAATCAAGGTAGATCAAGACATGTCTGACCAGTATAAGATATGTCTGAGTTTAATTTCTAAAAGAAGACAACTTATATTTAGACACTGCACTCTTACCTTTCAATCCTAGAATGTTTCTGGCGAATTCAATGACAGCTAATTGCAGTCCATAGCAAACACCTAGTCCAGAAAGAAAAATGATCCTTTAAACCTTTGAATCCCTGAAGTGATTAACATGTAACTTCTCCCTTTAATATCCAATACATAATCCAGCAAATAGGCAATGAGAATACTCAAACTTATAATGTAGAATTCATTATCTTTATCTACACCAAACTCTCGTTACTATTTTACAAGAAAATGTGTTGTAGCTAGATGGAAGCCCCAATTCATTGCTGATTGAAAGGTCTAAAAAATAGATCACAAATTAAACCAAACTCAACAATTTAAGATAATAACTTACCTAGGTAAGGTTTCTTCATCTTTCTTGCCCATTCAGCTGCTGCTATTTTCCCCTCTGTGCCTCTTTTTCCAAATCCTCCTGGTACCAATATACCGCTACAATAATCATGAAAAACACAATCAGATTTTGTCTGAAACTGTAGAAAATAGGGATAGCACTATTCCTAAAAATTATTTCTTTGTTGCTGTTGTATTTTTCTGTCCTGAACATTCAAGATTTGTTACACCCGAGTAGACCTAAGAGTGTAGTGCAATTAGAACAGAGTACATCAACCACTTCTTAAACCAGAAACACACAATAAAATGTTAACATCAGAAAGATGTGGTCCATTCACTGTGAATAACAAGTTACTCACTCGCATCCACACAACCTTTGCCAAGCTTCATGGTATTTCACTGGATCTCTCTCTTGAACCTCCTTCTCAAGATTTTCAGACTCTACCCACTGAGAGATTAGAAACAACAAGAGTCCTTTACCTCAAAAAATTCATCAAGTAGTTATACATGTATGCAGTCATGCAACCAAGTAAACGAGTCCTATAATTAAAAAAGTGCCTCTTTTTCAATTATTTCATACACCATAATTCTTAAACAGATTATAAGGTACCTACCACAACTTGAAGACGCCTGTTACAATGGAGGGATGCATGTTTCAGAGCTTTTAGAACAGAAATATATGCATCTTCTAGCTTTGTGTACTTTCCAACAAGAGCAATCTTAACTTCATCCAGGAGTCGCTCGTCTCTGATAACAAGAGAGAGAAAGAGAATTACCAAAATCTATGCTGATGAATAATTACCTGCCGTATCAACATGATTAAATATGTCTGAACCCCTCATGAACTGATGACATCACTACCAACTAACACATGGGTTACTTAGTCTTTCACCACAGATTGCAATACAATGGCCTGGGACTCTGGTTTACAGGGTTAAGTTTGAAAACTCACCAGTTATTTTCCACATGTTAATGAGAAAAACATTCTACATTGAGAGGACATCTCTCCATTAGGTAGTAGTAAAATGAGGAACAGTGAACTGACAGGGAAACCAACAGGAGGAGAAAGGAATGTGAGTTAGCTAGACCACATTCCCACCAATGGCGTAGCTCCACTTCCTACATATAAATCCACACACAACCCACAATTCCTCTAATCGCTCTGACGAAGGGCTAACGCTCGAAATGTCAGCTTTTTTACCCTTTACGGTGGCTAATTTACGTTTTCAACCCAGTTGTTAACACTAAATTACCTGCTATACTCTCCCACCGACGCAGCACCACAGTTTCTTTAGAAACTTACCCCTTTATCCATGAGTTAGCTAGAGTCTCCCTAAAAGTTCATCAGTACCATTCCTACCAGGAGGAGTTCCAAACAAGAACATGACCTTCCGCAGGATAAATAACTGACTCATTACACCCTATGTAGTTTGTACCCTTGAGTACAAAAGTGCAGTTTTCCCCTTACCAGGCCCATCCAACACAAAAACACATGCCATGTTGACACCAATTAAATTTAATTGATGAGTTTATGACTATTATCATTATTCTTCAAAAAATATCAACAAGGGTTTTTTTTTTTGGTCACTACTATATGTAGTACTTTGCACTAAGAGACAGTCCCACTCACTTACCTCTCTGCTAATTCTCTCCATTGCACTATAAAATGTCTTGGTTTACGCGACTTGATTTCCAATTGAAGCCTTTTGGAAAAAAATGAAACAATTCCTTGGTTTGATAACAACACGGGAACTCTGTAAATGGATTTGCAGTCGTGGACATCTATCACCTGAAAAAAACAAATAAAATTTAAAATTTCCTGTTTGTTTAAAAAGAGAGGAAAAGAATCCCTAAGATTTTATGAAAAATTCTCACCTGCTCTGGAGGGACATGGCAGAACAAAGACACCTTCTGCTTGACAGAGTTTGTCACTGTATTCTTGCATCTACACATAATCTACAAAGTTATTTAAAAGAAAAGTTTTAAATTTATCTTGAGCACTGTACAAATGAAAAATCTGCCTTTCCCTTTTGCAAAGACAGAGTGGAGGAGATGGTCTTCTATAGAAAGACGTAATATAATAATCATCGTAAACATGCCACAAACATAGTAACATTATTGGTCAACAATAAAAGTGTTGTTACAGTTTCAAACTTTTGGTTTTCAGTGAGCAGTGGTTCAGCATGGTGGTTCAGAGTAACGAGAATAACATTATACCAGCAGATATGACCCACCCACCTAAACCACACAGCAGATCATAATACCTTAGGTATGGAAAATTTATCTATGTTTTACCACAAGTTAACCCTTTAACTACCAGGATCTGATTCTTAATTCTCCTCTCTGGCTGCTACACAATTCCTATAATAATTTGGTGTTAAATCAAGTTAAAACTTCTACTTGACAAGTTTGAGGATAACATATGGATATTATAGGAAAAAGTCACATGTTAATCACTTCTGGGGGTCAAAAGGTTAAGAGACCAGTAACTTACCAGATCAGGACTCAGGCCTAAACCACGCAGTTCCCGCACACTGTTTTGTGTAGGCTTTGTCTTCTGCTCACCTGTAGAATCAGGCTGAGGAATACAAATTTAATACAGCCTTTATTAACTTAAAGGAAAGAAATATTATGTTTATGCTTCATTTGAAATTTGAAATAGTTGCTTTCTGTTTTCCTAGGCAATTCGTTACAAGTCATGTAACAACTTAAGTTACATCTATCTTTGGTACCATCAACTCTCTGTTATGAAAACCCTTGGTGTACAAGAAAGGGGACTAGATATGTGCACAGATTCCTATGAAGTAAAGTATACCTCAGGCACCAAACTGACATGGACCACACAAAAATTGTCTCTTCCAACTCTAAACTGGAACTGACGGAAAGCTTCAATATAAGGCATACCCTCGATGTCACCAATTGTCCCTCCAAGCTTATAAAAAATACAACAGAAAAAATCCATTATTACCTAATGCTTGCATTTATTATACATTCAAGCATCTTATATTTTTGTAAGATTAAAACAGCAATTAACTGTCACACATTCATATACAATGAACTTCAGCCTTCAAACTCTAACCTCAAATTTTGTCTAGGAACAACATCGCTAACATTGTAATGCACATCTCAAGTACAGACAACAGAGATAAATGTACAACCACATGTCAAAACTTCAGACTAATTGAACCTGTTTCCTGAAGAAATTGTAGAAAAATACATATCGAACTCCAGGGTCCACTTACTATCAACACACAGTGCTCTGTCTCCAGCAGAGGTTACATGCTTTGACAGAATAAAACTCCAAGAAGAATTGTTCAGAGGAGTAAATGGGTCCCCTCACTGAATTTTTGAAACATTTTAAAAATCTAGGGCCTCTGCTTCATTTGGGCTGGCTTTGCTCCTGAGAATTTGTCCAAGTTTTTTTTTTGGATTCTGTTCTTCTTTTAAGCCAATTTTTAGTCAAGGGATGTTGATACAAGAACCTTCGAACCTGATTGTAGGCATAGGTACATGAAACCACATCAGAACAAACCCATGGCGATGGAATATTGACCTCTACTAAGTCTCAATTTTGCACTCTCACACTAAATCTAAGCAATGATCCATTGTTTCTCTGAGAACAATAATTTACTATTGGACCATTTTTCAACATAGTGTCAAAAAAAACATACAAAAAAACAAGCAAATTGCTTGTTTTTGCATATGACTAAGTTGCAATTGTTTAATTAATTTGTTGAGATGATGGTGCAAATTTCAGAACCAATCACAGAACAAAGTTGAGGTTAACCAAAGCAATCACTGATTACTTTAGACAATCAGTTGGAAATTGCCCTAAATATAATTTGTTATTAGTAGATTACTATACCTCAATAAGACAAACATCAGCCTTGATATCCTTCTCAACAGGTTCAGCGGACACCTTTGTTACCCAGTCTTGAATAGCATCAGTGATATGAGGGACCACTGTAGATTACAAAAGAACAAATATCAGATAACATAGATCCATCACTTTATAGTATCAATTACACCACATATATATGAGTAAAGCCATATTTATTTTGGAATAAAAAATCTGATTCTAATTTCAATGAATACATATCATTATACAATAATTAACAATTATTCACCAAAGTGGAGGTGAATAGTGGTGGATATTTACTGAACTATGAAGTGGCAAGGTAACTATCAATCACTATTCACCATAGTGAATAAATGTTACCATTGGTGTTTACCACACAGATACAAAAATTTTTTTCTTTGTGGTGGTTTTTCTCTGCATAAGAGCCTTGGTAGCAGGAAGCAGAAGTCAAATGTGTAAATTGGACTTAGGGGCTATGAAAGGCATGTCCCCTTGAGATATATGGTTTATATAGTTATCTTTCTGAGATAATTGCAAAAAAGTTGCAAAAAATCAAAAAAATATATGAAATGATAATATCAATGATAAAAATAATGATGATAATAATAACAACAACAACAACAATAATAATTATAATAATAAATAATAAAAACAATGCTTTAGTGATGCATGCTAAAAGTAAGAATTACTAAAAATTAACTCACCTTGAACAGTTTTACCCAGGTAATCCCCTCGTCTCTCTTTATCAATCACACTCTGATATATTTTACCAGTTGTTATGTTGTTGCTCCGGTGAAGAGTCACATCAAGGAACCTTTCATAGTTCCCAAGGTCTAAATCTACTTCACCTCCATCATCCAAAACAAACACTTCCCCTGTAATGATGAAAGTTTAAAATATTGAGTTAATTACATGTAACTGTTACACGACAAAATAATTTTTAAAAATTATGATTTGTTATCACTGAAGTTTTCTCTGGCCCTTTTAAACTGTTAACAACAACATGCAACTGAAGCATGCAATTGAACATCAACAAATATTGCACAACAACAAACTTGTCTGTATATTTTAAGTTTACCAGCTCATCAAAAGAAAAGCCAAACAGATGTCAAACCACAAGGAGGAATTTGTTTCTTTTCTGATCAATTTTTGAGAAAAGGTTAGAAAAAGCCTTAACTTAATGAAATCCGACACCAGTTTCTCTGTCCAACCATATCCATGAACATGTATAAAATGTGGACCATTTAAGAAACCAGGAAATACAGTGATAATCAGATCTTGTATAACAGATTTGGCCTAGGACAATGGTATCATATAAATTTTAAGATGGAAATAAAGTAATGTGTTATTCAACGTCTCATAATCTACATTTTGAGAAAAATTATCTGCTTTTAAGCCTTGATTCGAATATTGCGTAAACCCACAGAATCGCCGCGCGTGAAGCAAAATACAGGAAATCTGATTGAACAACAAGATTTAAAAGCACTTAAATTCTTTCCTGTTTAAATTCCTTTTTTATTCGAGGAAAGCATTTAAAATTGCAATGGAAAGTGCGTACTTTAAGCCTTATATTTTCCAGTTACCAGTATGCTTGAAAGCAATTGATAAGTCATTCATTCACCATGTGCAGTTGTGACTACAACTTACGACGCATATTGCATTTTGGAATTTTTTTTTACGTAATGCTGCCAAAACTAGATTTCACAAAGCATCAAAATTCTCTTGCCACAAACACCTTGTAAACTCTCTCCTAATTCCAAGCTGATGTACCAACGAACTCGAATAAAAATGGCGGGACACGTTTGAACCATGCACTTCGCGCGCAAAAGATGTAACGGGCGCTATCAGCCGCTCATTTGACAACAGATGTACGAAAAAAAAGGACTTTACCATGCTCGTAAGGAGAGAATGTCCCAGCGTCGATGTTCAGGTAAGGATCGATTTTAATTGAAGTAACGTGCAGTCCACATCCTTTTAATAGAGCTCCGATGCTGCTAGAGATAACACCTTTTCCGATCCCACTAATAACGCCACCGGTAACCAGAATATACTTCATCTTTGAGCAGAAGTATAGCAGCTTTTAAACCCAGTATCTAGGTTCCTCAAAAAATTGGAAAACAGGGGAAAACTTTTCTTAAAATTATTTTAACCCTCCGGGAGTAAGCGGCGCCCTGCTCTCTTCGAGAACTGCGCTATCAACTTACACGGCACGTGTTGTTTTATGCGAACAATTCGCTCCTCATTGGTCAACGAGTAAGATGATGTCGATTTCATAAATTAACAAGTCATGACTAACAACTTGTCGGTCTCTCGGAAAAGTTCGGAAGAGTTCGGAACTCGGCATAAGAAAGAGGTTGTTTCCCGGGTCTACGCGGTAAACACAAGATTAAAATGGCTGCTAAATTTTACCGTACCTGCATACGACGCCAAAGTTTATCGGTTCTTCTGTTTTGATTTCAATCATCTTGTGAGCAATTCGTTTATCTTGGGTTGGTTTAAAAACAGCAAAACTGACCCGATCGAACCACGTGGAAAGCACCCTGAACGAAAAGAAATGGGAAACAAACAGAGTTCCAAAAGACGCGAAAGTCAGCTTGTACGCTCTAATTTAGCATCGTCCGTCAATCCTGCGCTTCCACAAGGAGCTATTGTCGCACTTACTGGCTGTTTAAACAGACTGCCTCTCGTCCTAAACAAAAGTGTTCGAGAAGAAGTGATCAGGCGAGTAGAGCTGATGGAAACTGGTGAAGCTCCAGAAATTCTTTTAAGTAAAGGCCAAGAGCCACCTGGAATATATGTGTTGGTGTCAGGTAGTGTGACTGTTTTCAGTGAAAACAAGAAATTTGCCCTGAGGGAAATTCAAGTCGGTAACTGCTTTGGTGAAGTTTCGGCGCTATTTAATATGAATTGCACTGCTGATGTGTGGTCATCTAACAGGTTGGTATTGATACAAAACCATCTCAACATCCAGATCTCAGTCTTAATTCTCCTCGCTGTCAGCCATAAATTTCGCACAATTTAAGCTCTCAGAATTTTCTGCATATCATTCAATAACCCCTAATTTATAATTCTGTTTATTTCCACTATGTGTCCTCTTAATAGTTTATTGGTATAATTTTGAGAAGAAATCACTCATTGGTCAGTTCGTGGGTGAAAGGGTTAACTTTTGGAAATGCCATGGAAATAAATTGCATCTTCATAACATTTTTTTGGGTTGAAACTGCCAGGTGCATGTTGTTGCTTCTGAAGACCTCTGATGCCCGTCGGCTTCTCACATTTCCCAGTGAGGTGACGCTACTGCAGTGGTTTCAACAGAGGTTGGTGGAGGTCATGTTTAAATAATCACTCAGTTAAACCAGCTTTGTTTTTATTCCTCAAGCTTGTTTTCAAAGTTGCACTTTTAGGAATTTCAGTCTGTTCCTCTTAAATTGTTCAATAATGTGTAAAGATGATGGCTTTTAAAAGGAATTTTTTACTGTTATAGGAGATACCTGGACACCAGTAAGCTGTTTAACAACCACCAACTGTCAAGGGAAATTGCAGTAGATTTATTACAAAAGGTTTGATTATCTTGCACTACTATATAATGACATAAGGACTGAGTGGAGTCCAATTTGGTCTGTAATCATTTAAGTGATTTACAAAATTGGACAACTGCAAAGTGGGAGTCCAATTTGTTAATCACGAGTATGATTACAGACAGAATTGGATGACATGAAGTCCTGTTACCAATTAATTAAAACTATGGCAAAATTTGAGAAAGAAACTAGACATCGGTTGTACTTTTTCATAAAAAAAAAACAAAAACAATAGTTAACTCAGTGAAATGCAAGACAACAGGGCACGCACAGTGCGTTCTATCCACTTACACAGGCATAACTGTCCTATTACACTGTCCAATTACAAGCACGATGTATACACTGTCCTATTAGTGCTTAAATCAGGCTGGTGATAACAAATCACATTTGAAAATTTTGATAGTTTTGACTAATATAGGTATCAATAATTTAAATAGGCCACCATGAAGAGTTCCATGAGCAGAACTTTTGAGTATTAGCCCTTTTTTCACTTGCTCTAACGAAAGGCTTTGGAAACCCCTCCTGGTGGCCAATTTATAATGATAATAGGCTCGGGTGGAGTCCAATTCAGTCTGTAGTCATAAGAGTGATTAACAAAATTGGACAACCATGAAGGGGGAGTCCAATTTGTCAATCACAAATATGATTACAGACAGAATTGGACAACAAGAAGTCCTGTGAACCAATTAATCACAATCGTTACTATTTTCAAAAACAACAAATTCATTTAGGTCAAATATCTCTGGTAGAGACAATGTCTAAAGTAGAAAAATTTCTCCATTTTGGAAATTCTGCAATTTTTTTAGGATAAGTGGTTGTTGCTATGGTTATTGTGAATAATTCTGTGATTGATGGATTTGGCTGAGTGGACTTAGTATAACTGGCTACTTCAACCATCCAGTTACAGCCAACTGTCTGGTTATACTGTCCGCTTACAGCTCTACAGAATGATTAGTGAAAAATAAAGCAGCTTATGCACCAATCACGTTTGAAGAGATTGTAATAGTTATGATTAACATTATAAACTTATACCCCACTGATGGAACACCACAGTTTCTTCAGAAACTTACCCTCATTTATATAGGTGTATTTAGTCTGATACACTGATTAAGTCAGGCAAAATTTATATATATATATAGTGCAACTATGCATTACTGTTCTGTACTGCTGTTTATGATTTATTTGTATTTGCTGTTTTTTTTGTTTTTGGTTTTTTTTTGGTTTTTTAGTCTCCTATACTTCATGGCTGGGGAAAAGAATCTTTGAAAGCTGTAGTTAAAACTGTAAAGCCAGGTCAGTTAAAAGAAAAAATGTGTGAAAGTCTCCTGATTTGGAGAAGAATGCTGTTCTAAATCAAACCAAACTAAAGCTAAAAATAGAGAATAAAGATGGAAGTGGTTGGTATTTAAATTCTTAGAAGGAGTCAACAAAGAAATGCATGGTCTTCAGTTTGGAGAATTAAATTTCAGATCTAGGGATGAAGGGTTGAACTGGTATTGTTCTAGGGAATTCTGAGGTCTATTCTTCTGCTGTATTAATAGTCTAAAGTTCAGCTTGATTCAGTCCATTGGAAATTAAAAAAGTTTTTTTTTCATTTATTTGATGACTTGTTTGTTGTAATTGATTCCTGTGCTTTTTTATTTTATACAAGTGTTATTCTTGCAGCGGTTATTGTGTTGTATCCTCCCAACAGCATTATTTTCAAAGAAGGCTGGAAAGGACAGGAAATGTTTGTTCTAGTGCATGGGCGGTAAGTATGTTGCATTTTATTTACAGGCCATTATATAACCAAGTAGGAAGTGTTTAGAACTTTTATGACAAGAGGCCTGGGTTCAAGAGCCAGTAATGTCTTTGTGTTGTGTTCTTGAATAAGACACTTTATTTGCACAGTGACTCTCTTCTTGAGGGAGTTCTGACGAAGTACTGACTGTGATGGACTGGTGTCCCATCCAGTGGTGTTCTAAGTGGCAATTACTTGCAGCTAATTTATGCTACAAAAACTTGGATAAGCTGGGATAAGTTTTCCTCCTAATTTCTCATAGTTATGTTCTCTTTATGAGTATGAACCCTTCCATTTTTAAAAGTTGAAGCTGTTTACCAATAATCTGTGATCAAAATTAATGGATGATTATAAAAATTATATTACTACTGTTCTGCATTTAGGGTAAACTTCTCCAAAAATAACCAGGATGTTGCCACATTTGATGCTGGAGAAAGAGGATTTTCCTTTGGAGAGGAAGGTATATTAGTGATAATGAGACACACTCAAACAACACCTCTCTTTCTCTTTTTTATTCAGTGGAAAAGTGTTTTGTAAGTGATTTGTAATGGTACAAGATAAAACTATGTTTAGAATAAATCATAACTTAGTTATAACACAACTTTATACGTCATAAATTTATCATAGTTCATTAATTCCCCCCTCAGGGTTCTTCACTGGTACAGAGAGAAGATCTACTGTAAGGTAGGCAAAATGTACGCTTTTCATAGCTCTTAGTTAAAGAAAATGAAGGAATTGTTGGCAGGTATGTTCTTCCCATACTTTGTCAAAATTGAATTTTGGCTTTCTCCTAAATCCCAGGGCCCATTTGTTCGAAGGCTAATTAGCGCTAACCCAAGATTAAATTTTAATCTGAGTTTCTTCATTCCTATATTCAAAAGCATTTTTGGGATAATTTCTTGTGTTCCTTTTAGAGCATCAAATAGTCGTATTCTAGACAAAAAGAATTCATCTGAATTTTTTTTAAAGCTATCAGATCTGAAATCAGATTTCACACTAACCCTGGGTTATCTTAACCCAGTTTTGAACAACCCGGCCCATTTCTGCAAATAATCTTCCAACAGGAATAAGTTAAAAACCCTGGTTTGTTGTTTGACTTCCTCCTAAGACAATTACAGTGAATAGTAATATATGTCTCAATTTCATTATAGTGAGGGGCTTGATATTGATCTGTGCACAACAGAAATTCACTCCTTGTAAATTATTTTCACAGGGCAGCTGGGCCATGCCAGATTATTCTCCTTTGTGAGGAAAACTTCCATGATGCCATTAACCAGGTTTATTTTTTTTTATCATTGAATTACAGGTAGTTTCTTAGAGGTCACTTAAAATTCCAAATTCAAGTTGAATTTTTTTTCCACAGTTCTCAGCGGAGGCAACATTACTCCAAGAGCTTAGTGTGAAATGGAAACAACATGTAAACCAGAGAGATAGCACACTGTATTCAAAGTACATGGGAGCATTAGATCTGGAGGTTTGATTCGTCTTGTGGATGTTTGATACTAGTATCTGTATGTAACTTTTGTATCTTTCTCCCAGTCTCTAGCCTCCCAAACACAGGTAATGTTAATACTGTTCCTCAGGCGAGAGGAGATAAGTGCAAGGGGCAAGGTCTTTGTCTCCACTCCTTGAGGGGTCTTTCCTTTCACATATACCCTAACCAAGAAAAGCCTTAATGACCCATGGTATTGGAATTGACCTAAAAACCTTCATGAACTTTGTTTTCAGATTTCTTTAAAGATTGATCCCACAGTATTAAATCTAGATGACTACCTACTAGGAAGGAATTGATTAAACCAGATTATCAAATCATTGTCTTTCACCAATAAATTGCCACAACGTTTTTTTTTTTCCGATATAAATGAAAAAATTAAATCATTTTCTTTTCTCTTCAGATATTGAGAATGACCTTAAAACAGGTAAATGATAACTTCAAATTAGAGAGAAGTACTTTTACGTGTATAGTTTTATTGTAGTCCAAAGTCATAAAATATATTTTCCAACTTCCTGTACATAAATAAAATAAGGAACAGCACTTAGCTGTTAATAGCAGATCGTAAGATCTTTGTAACGAAAGCCCAGAGCCATAGATTTCTGGTCGAATTTAGCAATGCAGAATGACTGATGTTCACTGATTTGCCAAAGGTTCAATGCTTAGGTAGATTCTCATGTGGGTTGAGATTGTTGTTGGTTGTAGCCCTTGTTGGAACTCTCCTTGCTGCGGTTCAGGTATTTTCCTCTCTCTACAAAAACCAACACCCCATGACCAAAATGCAATTATATATACCATATTTCCTTTAGCAAGTACCTGGGTGCTTATTTAAATCTTCAGCTAAAAGGATAGGAGCTCGCTGGAAGTGAGGGGAATGCATCTTAGAAACTACTAACCTGAACTGATTCCGCTTATTCTCTCCACAGACAGAAGAGTTCAAAACATGCCCGGCAGGATTCCTTTACATTCTTGCGTTATCCATGACGATTAAAGAAGTTCCAGCTGGCGAGATTGTTCTTACAGAGAGAGAGTACCAAGATGGCAAGTGCGCTTTAGTATCAATGCAGCTTGATGATTTATATTAAACTAAGACCTGGATATACAGTTGATTTTGATGATCCTAAAGGTGCTGCCGAGTTTTGAGTATTATCTTACTACGCAAACTTGGTTGATTTCAATAGGACAGGCAGAAAATTTACGATGTTTTAAAACGCACGTGCAGGGCGCTTGTTATGCTCATTAGACTTTTCGTTTCATCAAGTTCTCGTTTCCCTCTCTGTTGTGGTTTGAGTGAGGTATCCAGAGTTAGGATAAGCAAGGAGCGCCAAAGAAACCACAAATCTATCACTGACATAACTTGGTCTTTGCCTTTGAAAAATGCTCTGTGATATCACGGCAAGATTGCCACTTTTTTTTTTCCTTCGTTTTCTTTAGGTAGCACGTTATTTGTTATTCTTCAAGGAAGTTCAGTTGTAATGGATGGTGACATGTCAACCTCACACTCGGTGGAACTCAAACAAGTCTTTTGTAAGTGTATGGTTACTATTCTTTTTCTTTCTTTTTTTTTTTCCTTTTTCCTGTGCTACAAAAGGATTGTATAAAAACATTTCATTAAAATCACAGAACAGGCAAGATTACTATCCGCCGGTAGAGAAATGAGCGCACGTTACTCCCTCCAAAGTTGTTCCTCGGAAGGACCAACGACAGAATCCAAGAAAACGGCGCAAATCGAGCCTTGTTAAACCGTGGATCGAATGTTCGTGTTCGATTCTTAGCTGAGGTTATTGTGTACTTGGGTACCAAGGACTATAAAGTGGGTACCAGCAAACCGTCACTGAAATCTTACAAAATGTTGGGGGAATCACTTTTGATGGTTGGCTTCTGATCCGGGGGAAGTTAGAGTGGTCTCAGTCGCTCCTGCATGAACTCAGTCAGTTAATATTGGCCAACCTTATTGGTGGAATTGTTAGAATAATGCTTTATCATTTGTCTTATCTATCCTGCTTTAGGGAAGAACGACACAATGCCTGTGACTGGGTGGGTTAAGGCAGTAGAGTTATGCGTGGTGTCCTTTCTTCCAGAGGAGGCAGTGAGAGAAGCGCGCAACACTTATCCTGATGTAGCGCTGCTCAGACCTTGAGAGAACCAATTTTGGCTTTAGAACTGGGAGGGCACGTCCAACTGTTTTTAGTTATCGTATGCCCTCTAAACTGCAAATGGAAATCATCTTACCGTTGTGACGCCAGCCGCGGTTTTGATTGTCTACGAAAGTCGGCCTCTGTAGAGATCCGTTGGACAATCAGCGCCCTGAATCGCGATCGTTCTGG